TCCTCGAGGCCGTCCGCGTGCCCAACCGCCGACGGCGATGGAGAACTCGGAGGAGGACTCAACTGGCAGCGCGGAGGAGAGCACCGAGCCACTGGCGGAGGTGCGGCCAGAGCCGCTGGCTGACGTCGGTGCCGCTTTGTTAGTGGACGACCGCGGGCGCTGCGTCGTGGGAGCGAGCGCGACGCAGGGGCCCTTCCTGTACGCCACATGCGGCTCTGCATAGGCCCGGACGACTTACATGTGGACCGCGTCCACGGCTGCCTTGCTCTGCCGCCTCTCGGAAGCCTTCCGTGCGCCGCCTCCAAGCTTCACCTGACGCCCGAGGAAGCCTCGCGGCTTTCCACCGCGGCCCCCGCAAGCACGGGCCGGGGGTCTCCTCCCCGCCGCCGTTCGGCAGTCACATGGCGCGGCCAACCGCACGGCAACACGCGCCCCCAGAACTCCTGGCGCGGCGCCGCCGAGGGTCCTAAAAATGAGAGCAGAAGGTCTCAACCAACGCGCGCTGTTGTGTGCGTCGCAAGCGGAGCTCCCGTCGCACTGATGGCGAGTCGTTGCGCCGCCATCCCCCCGTGGAAGTCCCTCCTCCCCATTTCACCGCCGGCGGGGGAGGAGGCGCGGCGCGAGGACATCGCCCGCCCGCGGGCAACCCCAAATGTTTTTGGGCGGAGCGTCTCGGGGCGCCGCCGGTGGGCGCCGCGGAGGCGGGAACGCGGGTCAGGTGGACACCACGTGCGTGCGCAGCTGTCCTTCAGACGGTCGGCGGCGGCCGCCGGGGACACCCGGGCTCCTCCGGCCGGGCGCCCGGCCCCTCGCCGTGCGGCGGGAGGCTTGGGCCCCACGCGGAGCTGCCCGCCGACGTCCCCACCACGCGCCCCGCGCACGAGGCAGCAAAAAGTCGCAAGCGCGAGAAGGCGGCTCATCTCGGCGGCTGTGAGCTTGCAGCCGCGCTCATGCCCCGCGCCCGGCCTCCCCGCTCCCCGGCCAAGGGCCGCTGCATAAAACGAACGGCGGGTGCGTTGCCCGGGCGCGGCCTCCTTCCTTCTGCCTGCAGGGTGAAGGAAAAACAACAACAGAAGATCACAGCCCGGCCCGCGCACGAGCAGCCTCACCCACCACCCACGCACCCGGCAAGGAAGTGCATTAAAAAGGACGCCCAACGATCGCCGGACTCGCTGGGCCACGTAAACTGGCAGCGTTTGGGGAACGCCGCCGCCGGACTCCCCCGCGTGAAGACCAGCGGGGGCGGGGGAGGGGCGTGACAGAAAACAGAAAAAACCGCACTCGCTGCCGTCCAACGCGGGATCTTTGGAAACAAAACCCCGTCAAACAAGAAAAAAAACAAAACGGGGCATCCCTACAAAAAAAAAATCATCCTTTACTTTTGTCCACCCCCATCGCGCGACAGGTTATTTCTACAGGTTCCTACAAAAATAAATTCATCCTCCGCCGAGGCGCTTGCGCCGCACAAAGTTAAAGTGGATGCAGACACGCCGCGCACAGCCAGCGTAAAGGAGAAGGGGGCGAGCGGGGCCCAGGGCACCGCCAAAGGCGTGCGAGTCAACGGGCAGTCCTTATTGCTCTTTTCACCACACGCCGTTTGAGACGTGAACGAAAAAACACACACACACACCAAAAAAAGAACAAAACAAAACACTGAAAAAAAATCACTGTAATTAAAGAAAAGAAAGAAATCTACGTAGTTCTCCGTTTTCGCTTCTTCTACATATTCCAGAAGGTGTGTGTATAACAAAAAAAACGCCGTTTTCCAAATGCGGTTCAGAATAAAAATAAAATAAAGGAGGGGAAGAGACAACATACCCCAAATTTTTTTTTCCTTTTTTTGCTCGCGTCCAACGAACGCCACAGACAAGGTCCGCTTTTCCTTCTCACCTTGCGCGGCGCCGCATAGCAGGAGACGCGTATGCTAATCGCCCGCTGCTAGGAGGCCGGCGGTGGGGGTATCTTGCAGTAAAACAACCTTAAATATTACGGGCGCCTGCTCCGTAGCGAGCGGAGCCGCAGTATTGCCCTGCTGCGCGGTGCTTGCGTCCGGCCGCTGCGGCTGCTGTTCAAAGCGGCACTACCGCCGCCGCCGCGGTGACCGTGGCGAGGAGAAGCAGACTGGAGAGAACAGCAACAGCGGCACTGCCATCGTGGCCGCCTTTTTTGCCGTCCTTATCGGCCTTTTTGCCGTCCGTGTCGGCCTTTTTGCCGTCCTTGTCGTCTTTTTTGCCGTCCTTGTCTGGGGAGCTGAGTTTGACGAGGCTGCTGCCGTTGGCGGCCATGGTGCACACCTCCTCGTACTTCGGGCACTTGATCTTGCCGCCGTCCTTGAAGTGCGCCGACTTCGGCGTGATAGACGTCCCCTCGGGGCACTCCTGCCACGCGTCGCCGCCGAGGTACTTCACCTTCACTTTGCCCGCCTCGCACTGCACCCCCGCACACACCGCGTGTACTTCGGT